CAACCACCGAAACATAGTCCCCGACATGGAAGTGGCTACTAACGGTTGCAATGCTTCAACGAAAAAGACGTTGATAATGTTTTTGCAAGCCAAGTGTGTCCAAAGATTTTAATGTTTGTTCCCCAAACAGACTTGCCAAAAGTACTGCTGTATTCTCTCTCTCTCTCTATGCAAACACTACCCTCGACACGGACTGCAAAACCAACTGCAACATACTCCTTCTTCTGACTGAATGCCTTTCATGTTAGCCACAGGATAAGGCATCCTCATGGAATGTGGCCTGGGACATTGTTCTTAGTCTTGTACTCCAAAGAACAACGTAATAATAGTTTGGGGATGTTGTTTTTTGGAGAGCACGCAATAATCTTTTGCGGCTCTTGTGCTCCAAAGCGCAGGCTTCTTGCATTTGTTTGGGTTGCGCCAAAAACCTATTGCATGTGTTTGGTCTCCCCAAAACCAAAATTTCCAAGAGCAACATAAATCTGTTACATCAGTTTGCTTCGAACTCATGAACCCCAAACACATTGTATGGAACCAGCAATGAATCTGTTACATGGATTTGTGCTCATGAAAGCATTTCCAGCCCAAATCTGTTACATGGACCCAATTTAAATGGACATACGTGACAGAACCAACCAAACAAAGAGGCTACAAGTGGAAATAATTCATGATTCATTGCTTTTTGTACATAGGGGTCAGGTGGCCTAAGGAGACCCCCTGTCACAGCCCCCTGGAATAGTTAAATAAATATTCTGACTGCTGTCACTGCCCACATTCACAGAGAACAATTTGCAGACCTTCTGGCTCTGCACTGCAAGGACGACATGCAGACATGCAATCGTGGACCGACTACCTTGCTTAAATACTATTCCATGATTCCATGCCATGCAAATTGTTCAAAAAATATTCCAGTAGTTGACATGGCCACCCAGGGCCAGCGCGCTCCTAGGTGCCAGCACACTGATTGACTTGACTTCACCTGCTAGGTTACACCACTTAAGGTAGCAGGGATCCAGGGCATTGGAACCATGGCAGCAGAGTTGCCGCACCTCACGTCAGCGCGCCCATGGTACAACATCATGGAGTTGGTGGCGATAGAAGATCTGCCTCACTTCACAGATTGGAGGTGGGATCATTTGCTTGGCCCAATGCCACCACCTGAGCCCCCGCCGTATGAGCTGGTCATGACTATGTCTGGCTCAGTGGCTTTGAGAACCATCTACACGGCTGTCCACTTTCTTGTTCCAGAACGAACTGGTGTGAGCTGGCAGAACACTGTGATGAAACTTGCATCATGTTCAATATGCTTTGCTTTTTGTATATGTATAATCATCCTGGAGAAGATAGAATGGACGAATTGTCAAAAAAACAATTCACTCCTCAAAACCGGCCCTTCCAAACCCCATAGATAGAATATGGTTGTAGGGGCTTTTCTTCCTTTTCCTTTGTTGTCCTTTTCCTTCTCTGTTCGTTCTATTTTCTGTTCGTTCTAAAGAAAGAAAAAGGAACGTATAAAATAACAAAGGAGCAAACGCCGGAATGGGAGGAGTTGATAAGAATCTTATCACTACAGTATATTCTATCTATAGGGTCAGTCTTCATAGAATGAAAGGGATGTCAAAAACCCTGAATGTTTTCAAAAAGAAAAACACCCCCCACGAAAGTAGATTCTATCTACTCCAGGATGATTATACAAGTTTCTAGTTTCTACAGCTGAAAAAATGACTACTATTGGGCACATTGTCGTGGTTCATTGTTGACAATCAATTTGTCGGACTGGGACTTTTTGACTTTGACATCCTGATGACTTAATGACCTAATTGGGAAAGATGGCCTTGGGTGGCCTAGGGGATGATAATAGAAGAATATTTTTTGGTTGTCAATTATTGCTTTGATCGCATTGTGAGAAGCCTTGCTTTATCCAAGGCTGATCTGGAAGTACTATAGGGATCTTGCTACATATGATGTGGACGCGGCACGTAGATTCATCGAGGATGCCGAGTTGTGCATCACGGCTTTTCAGCTACCCAGGCTGAGGAAGCAGAAAGAGCTGCTGCCGCCGCCCTGGCTGAAGCAGAAAGAGCTTCAGAGGTTGAGGAAGCGGCGAGGAGGGCAACACGTGAGCAATTGCAGAAGCTGAAGAATACTTGAGGCTTGAGCTCCAAAGACAACTACATGCAGTTCAAGAAGCCGGCAGGGCTTGTGTGACATTGGGTATGGTGGCAGAGTTTCTCTGGCAGCGAGCTCAAGAGAGAAGGTGAGGCTCCACGGCTCCACGGCCTCCAACACCTTGTCTTTGGTGATCACTTTGACCAGAGTTTGGACAGGGTAGCTTTGCCCCAAAACCTTGAAAGCCTTACATTTGGTCACGGACTCTATATCAACCAGACTTTGGAGGGCGTGCTCTTGCCCACAGACTGGCACTGGACCGGCACCGGTTGAAAAATGAAGTTCAGCATTGGCTCCAGTGGAGTCCGGAGTGACGGGAGGGCTTGAGTATTGGCTGGTAGGGGATTCGGCATTCTGCGACCTCAGATCTTCATGTGCATCTCCCGATTTACTGCAAACAATGAACCTTAACCAATTCTTCCCCTCCAAGTACTTCCACTGGTTGGCTGCAATTATGATTTGGTACCAAATCACATGTCACAATTCAATCCGGCGATGACAAATTCCTGTGGTGACATAGACACACCAAGACCTTGACCAGGTTTGGTTCTACCTTCTCCTTGCTGTTTCACAGGCTTCCCCACACTTGAGCTTTCACCTTTGCCAGGTGTGGTGTTCGGCGCACGTGGCAGCAGCAGAGCGTTTTGGAGGGGAATGAACGGAGTCAGTCTACATTGTACAAAGGGGTAATTTGAACCAAGTTCAACCAAGACAGTGATTTTCACATTTCCTTGGATACAGGGCTCCGGGACGGGGACATATTGGTACACTGCACACACTATGTCCTTGCATGCATGTTGATTTGGAATCGAACCCTGCAAAAACGATGCATATACTATATACTATAAGGCTAGGGCTACGGCCCACGGCCAGACAGTGTCAGTGGACCATGCTGGAAACTTTGCAAAACGAAAATCTAACTTCTAAATAACTTTGAATCTGGATGAATGAATAGTTTTCAATGCAATCAACTCAGACTCAGAATGCTTGAAACGCCTTTAACTCACATGTACTGTAATGTCCGTCCAACAGATCTGAGGCAGGGCAAGGCTTCGTTTGGATGTGGCCTTCCTTTTGCTTCGGCAGCAATCTTGGGCCAAAAGGATGGACCCTGGGAGTGGAGATGCGTATTTCACCACCCTCAGTCTCCTAGATAAGATTGGGCTGTTTAGGTTGTTGGTGTGCGGTTGCGCACTGTCCATGCGCATTCGACATGTGTTCTTTTGAGATTAAAATTGAATCATGCCATCGGGTCATTGTCATTGTACCTCCAAATTCTTCTTTGTTTGTTGGAACCAGAGGCAAGTTTGTAAGGGTGGAGTCGGAGGGCCGGAATGTTTGATGTGCCGTGTGGGGTGCTCCCATGTGAGCATAGCAGCCTAGGCTTTGATTCTTCTGAAGTCAAGCGTGCAGCTTGGCATACTTTTGCTTTGTGACTCGGTGACTCCATTTTTTGGAACCACACACCGAACACCCTGCCTGCCTTCGATCGATGCATAGCCTGTGTGTTTGCAGGGCTGTTCTTGAAAGAGCCTTCTGAACATGAAGACTGGTCACTGGTCACCAGTCACATTCCTTTCGGAACAGGGTGCTGGCTTGGATCGATCGTCACTCATCACTGCCTCATAGTCTGTGGATGGTCTAGATCTAGATCAAGCTTTTGTTAGTTTTCGTTGAGTTGAACTATATAACGATCATTACATGTAGTGATGCTAGCTCCTTGAGCCCAGGGCCGAGCCTTGAACTACTAACAAAAGCCTTTCTCTTCAGAGTTTAGGGTGAATTCTTGATTGCAAGCCATTTTCCAGAGACACAAGGATTTTCCGGCTTTGCGATTGCCTTTCTAACCTTGACTGGACTGTGACTGGATGTGACTGGTGGCTGGTGACTGGACAGTGACAATTTCTGACAAACGACCTGCGGAGGGTGCTCGCCAACCGTCATTCAGCCCAGGATTGGTTCATGACGGAGGAGGTTGCCTTCAGTGGCCGGGATTTGATTGCAGCCTTCGATCGACGGTACACCCTTGCGCTGCATTGGCTGGAAGAATCCCTGAAAGGCAATCATGTCGTTGATTTTCCAGAACCACACAATGACACTTGGTTTATAGAAGCAAAGTCTCAAGAGTAGGTTGATTGGAATTACTGGAAGTTGAAGTCATTGCTGTGTTGAACTGAACCTTATTCTGTTGAGTTGAGCCTCTTATTTTCGCTGCACTTTTGACTGAGGAATCAACAATGCCAAGTCTGTGCAGCCAGGCTGGGCAGGGCCAGGGCATGCTGGTTGGTTGGTGGATGTTGATAGTGTGTTCGCCAAAACAACATGAGGATGCCACTGCCATTAGGAATGCTGCATGATGCTCATGGAAAATCATGGAAACATTGGTTGGAGTCGGAGCAACAGTTTCCTCACTCGGGTCGGGCTGTGTTTTTGTTGTCATCATCAATCAGCAATCAGCAAAGTCGCAATGCCGGTGGCCAGGTGACCTATGGGAACCTATCTGACAGGTTGGCGGTGATGGACAAGTATCTTGCCAATGGGAGTGCGGGCTGCAGGGACGATGATGCTTTGGCATTATCTACATTGGAGATTCCTTCAAATCGCGAGATACGAAAATTAAACACCAGTGTGCCTTGGGATAGGACCGGATTCTTGCTTGCATCCGGTGCGCCTTTATGGTTTTTTGCTGTTGATGAATTGTTGAGAGTCATTTCCGGACAACTTCAAGCCCTTATTCCAAGTTGATCAGGCATCAGGCTTGGTTCCTTTTCACTTTCTTTCCTTCAAGGGTCAAACATTGTACACCATAGCAACACCCCATCATCAGACCAATGTACAAAGTTCATCACTGGTGGGTGGGTGGGCTTTCACTTCCTTCAGAGCCAAATAGCCGTTCAGGACACGGCAAGCTTCGCCACAAGGTTGGCGCCCTCCTTCACCAAGTGAAGCTGGAGGTTGGGTTTAATGCGCCCAGCTTGAGCGCGTATTTACGCAATGCGGTTGGCATTTGCACAGACCAGGGTACAGAGTCCGCTATCCATGAAGTGCCATCTTTGGATTTGGGCAAGGTGTTGGAGTTTGATGCATTGCACCTTGGGAAGTAGCCCTACAACAATTCAGTGTTGAACTGTACCGACTGTACCAAGTTTGATATTCAGCCAAGGTTCTCCTATACAAACTGATCGGTCCCAAAGGAAGTACTGTCGATACAGTTGTAGACAACAAAAACAGTTGTTTGGCTTTTGGGCCCGGCCGTATATTTTTGTTTTTTATTACCGTCCGTCGTCCGTGTCCCTCAGACTGGGGCTTCGCATTATGCAGGAACCAACCCAAGTGGAGTAACTGGAGTACAGACCAGACAGAATATAGGTTATACTCAAATGGACTCAGCTGCTCAGCTGCTGAGTAATATTTGGCACATAACAACCCATCATATCATAACAAAGGGACAAAGGGCATTTGACAAAGGATCTTTCATTTCGAGTCCACCTACGTAACGGCGACGTGATGGCGACATGTACCTTTCTTCTTCTAAGGCATGGATCCAACACAACAATTCTGGGGTCTAGCAAACCTGCAGAGCTAGCCATAGACGACCCACTCAGTGCGCTTGGCGATGTGGGCCAATCAGGCCAACCAGTCGAAGAAGGTGACCATTCACATTCATCTTTTGAACATGGGCGCTTGATGCCAAGTGCAATTTGGATACCAGGTGTGAAGCACAACATGGACAACACTTGCAAGGACATATGGGAAAGCGTGCAAGGCCAAGCAGATTACTCCAAGAACTTGAGAGCATTGGAAAGCCTGCTAGCTCCAGTGCCAACGCGGGATAAAATCATTGAAGTGTTTTTTGCCGACCCACTGGATGAGTTGGATGCCCAAACAGCTTCCAAATTGCGGGTCTGGAACTGCACCTTGAAATCATTGAGGTGGCACTCAGTGGTTGATTTTACTCAAGCCTTGCTTGGGATCAAAGAAGGCTTGCGGCGGAGGTGGCACTTGGGACGGTTTGTGAAATCATTGCCCCGAGACTCCCAGCACAGTCCAACAGAGGGCCGTGGCCCACAAGGATGTGCCACATACAATCACATTGATGTGGTCATCCGTTCAGAGTTCTTTTGGAGCTATGCAGCCATGATCCTTGAGGTCTCCAGTGCTGCAAACACCCTTTCATCTTGGGCTGAGGGGTGTTGGTTTCACGGGTCTGGCTGTGGCAGCAACAGCTGCCCATACAAAGGATGCCGCGGGGCTGAGTTGGCTGGTGGTGCACATCAGTGGTTGTTGAATGACCTCAAATCAAAACCATCAGCTGGAATCGTTCGTATATGCTGTGGGGTCAACTCAAAAGAGACACAGCACTTGACGAATGATTGGCACTCAGCACTCACACGCCTATCTTTGGAGTTCTCGGTATCTTGGAATTAGATTACGCAGACTCGACCCCCAGACTGAGACCCCGGAATGAAGCCACGCTATGCTCCACAGTTCCGTTCATTCACCACCATCGAATACCATCAAGGGACAAACTGAAAACTAACTACGGCGCCCGGCACTCCGGCACTACATGAAGAAATTTAAAGTCTGGGGACTCTGGGTCCAAGTTGTCCAAACGTTTTTGGGCTTTGTGGGAGCTGGGTTTGGGCAGTTTGTGGCTGAGAATCAGTGAATATCGGCTGCGCAAAGGTCAAGCTCCACTACTGGCAGGAACTGCCTTGGAAACTGCTGGGTATCAATATGCCAAACTTGGAGCTGGCGCGATGTGTTGCAGTTCAGTGCCAACATGCAGCCTGACATTCCACCTACTGTGGAGTTTGTGTGCTTGTCAATTCAGATTGAACCAATCATTCCATGGCCGGGCTTAGACACAACAAATCAATCAGCCATCAGCCAACTGAGTCAATCCTCTTCTTTTAGTGCGAGCAGCTTCAGTCTATGCAGCATGTTTCTGATTCAATACATGTGACATCACATGTCACATGGCAACCGGAAACTCAAGAACGTGTTCAGTGAGTTCAGTGTTCCAGTCCAGTATGTTCGGCTCTTGTGAGTTCCTATGATTCTTATGCTTTGCTTGCTGAAATGTATTTGCTGCGGCTTCCTAGGCCTGGTTGAGAATGTCTGCATCCGAACAACGGAAAGCACACCCAATGACTAAGGAGATTCCTCGACAAAGACTGGAGAGGACTGGAACGCCGAGAAGGGACAACATGTACCATGGTGTGATACCAATCTTGAACTATACTCACCATGGACCATTGGCAACACCTGTACATCACTATTATTATATACTGTGCAATGTGACGTGGACTTCTTGAGGAGTTGATGAACATTTTCATCCAGGCAGTGGCACAGATGAGTCAGACCCTCCACTTTCTGAAGAATGGGAGCGCTTCATCCATGGAGCTACAGCCGCTGACCTATCACCTCACTTCAAGATGTGGGCCGTATTCAGGATTCAAATGACATAGAAACAACATACCAAAGTGTGGTTACCACAGTCACAAGTGACCACATAATCCATTTGGATGTAAGTGATGTGTTGCGCAGTTCGTCCTTACCCGTTTGATCACGGTGGATGTATATGTATATCGTATATATATCCTCTAAAATCACAGGGGTCATGGCCATGGTATCCCATAAAACGCTTTATGGTCCCTGCCTGGGGGGGCGTGAGGGTTGGATGTTATAGAGGAAAGCTGCTTGTATCCAAGAAACATATGTGTTATGTTGTGTTTTCTGGTCACTGCTCCGGCACATGGTGGCTTGAGGTTGAATGATTTTATAGAGACCTATCTGGGGTAGGGCCTGCTCACTCTATAATTGCTAGGGTGACCGCCACCATTTCATATCTATAAAATCACTGTCAAGACCCACCCCCCTATATGGCCACAGAGATCCCATTTGTCCCAAAAACAGAAGCCAAAAAAGATGTGGCTTTAACTTCTCTTCAAGCAAACAACGTTGCACAAAGAAACAAGATGGATGCAAAGGCAAGCTAGGTTGGACTTGTATATAGAAAATTGCCTTGGCGTTTCCTTCCCAGTCCTTCCTTTTGCCTTTATTATGCAGGAGCGTTCAACTGAAGGTATACATGCCTTTGCGACCAAGCTCTACAAGCGTTCTCCCCACGCTGGGCCAAGTTGCTTGTCAGTGGAGCTGAAGTGGGACAATGTGGAGAGAATGGTGCAAAAAGCAAGGACCGAAACTGAGCATGGTGAGGTGGGTGAGGGTGTGGGGTGGGATGTTTCCTGTGTTTTTGTGGGTCCATTAATATAATATAAAAATATGTAAAAAGCGTTTGATTCAAGGGCTGGGCGGCAGAAGTGATTTGTTTGCACTATATTCGCAATATTCTCCAGAGAAGCGCAAGCATTCAAAGAACGGTATCAAGGTGAAAGAGCACGTTGGAGGGCATTCACCACAGAGACGGGCGTCAATAAGAAGATAATACACAGACAATTTTGTTGCCCCATTACCATTGCAAAGGGAAGTGGCCGCTCACACCCCACAGTTCTTTGATGCCTTGACCAAGAGCCGGCCAATCATGGAGGCTATGCTTTTGGGCACAGGGCCTACAAATTTCCTTTGAAAGTCCTTCAAATAGCACTTGCCGGTAGCAGAGCCAGTATGAGTGATCATCGGATCTCTTAGTGCAGCTGACAAACGAAGTGGCCTTCAAGTGATGAAGGCGAACATAGCAGGGTCTGTAGTCTGTCGGCCCTGTAAACCAAACCTGGCCCTTGAATCAAAGAAAACATATTTAATAATCATATTCATATTGATAGTCTTTTTGCGGATACATATTGATACTTGTTTTTTGGGGCAGGGTGAGGCAGGTGAGGATGTGGGGTGGGATGTTTCCTGTCTCTTTGTGCATCCAGCAAAGACGTGTACTTGTACCTATGGGTTTAGCAAATCGAGAATGCTTCAAGAATGAGTAAATTTTTGGTTCGTTTGAGCAATATCAATAATCACAAGGACCATATGGATCATGGCCATGGAGAAAGAAATTCCACAATTGACAGTCCTATTGAACTATTGGTTCAAGTCAAGGCTTGAGGTCGCGCGGGTGATGTCAGGGGTCAAGCCTGGGAGCTTATAATATGCATTAATCATTACAGTATCCATTCAGCGGTACTTTGTCGAGCACATAGTTGATTTAAACTTGAGGTTTAACACATGCAACTGTACTACGATACAGCTCTTTTGAACAAAGCTGTTCCAAGCACTGTCGGATTCTGTGAAGCCATGCGCCGGTTGTACTTCAAGCAGCCAGATCCACGTGTTGTTGCAGCAAGGTCACATCAAATGAACCTCCGAGGCATTTGCCGGACCCAGGAGTCAAAGTTCTCCCATGAAGTGCCTATAGGACTTTGGTAAGGCCAGAAGACAGTTTCTCCAACAGGTCTATGAAAGGCAGCGGGGACCACGCAAGTCACGGAAGCGGACATTGCCAAAGAATACAACCCAACATCAGGCTAATATGACCTCAGGAGGACGAGCTGTGGTGTGTGCAGAGCGCGTGGAAACGTTTTGTGCTGGGAACCTGGAGGGCGAGGGCTCGGACCATGACCAAGAGAATCCTTTCATGCCTCCGCCTATTTGTTTGCCAGAGCCTGGCCCAGTCGTGAACGAACAGCGCAAAGCCAATGAAGACCGCATGAGGTCAAACGCCATCAGGTTCATCTTGGGATTTGAAAAGAACTTCGTTCCAGTAGACTCTCGACCTGATTGGCAATGTTGCAGTCCTTGAATGTGGACATTGGTTGTTGCGCTCTTTGGGGTGTGAACAGAACAACCGTTTTGTATTGCTTTGTTCTGTACAGAACAACTGTTTTGTTCTGTGGGTTCCAGTGGATTCCAATGGAGTCCCTTTTCACTTAACGGCCTACGGCGGGTTGTGGGGAAACGGTTTTAGTTTGCAGGGTGGCCAGGCAAGCAGGGTGACTTCCATAATTGAACCACCATACTACCCATACCACCTTACATTCCAACTTCAACAAACACGGGGTCACGTCACTACCACAAGACTACTTCCTGTTCTGAGGGTGAACCTGAGGTCATGATGCTTTGTTGAACCTGGTGCAGGTGCAATCTTCTATTCTAGTCATTTTTGGTCCTTGAGAGATGGCCAGGTGTTCATGTGGCAAACCCCCCACGGCCCCACAGCCCCATTCTCTCAGACAAGTTCCATGTTCGTTTGGTGCATTCGGCAGGACACTCTCAGCTGTTTGAGTCTACATCAGGGACTTTGCAGCTTTCAAGGCCTGAAGCAGGCTGTGGGAAAGATGCTGGGTGCTACTCTCAACACGACTGGCACTTCCAATTTTCGGGAGTTGGCATCCTACATTTACCGAACACATTTGGCATTGCAGTGGTGAACCCAGTTAGCACTTTCTTAGGTTTCAAGTAACGGTTGTAGGAGGCAACGCAGTGGCACAGTACGCTTGGCAGCGCATTCTGCAACATGTCATACTATTCATACTTGTTAATGCCTTTTGGGACTAAACACCAGACCCAATTTTAAAATTTTGTATGTTTTTCACCATTCAAGAAAGAATAACCCATTGTGTTTTCCATCAAAAACCCTGAAAAAAGGGTGCGTTAAAGACACCGTACAAAATACTGGAAGAAGCTTTTCCAACCTGTGTGGCTGTATATATTTTGTATACACCGTACACCTACAAAGCACCTAATCTTATAGGGAGCGCAATTGCTTCAGAGCCAACTCTATTCTGAGGTTCTGCTGGACGCCGACATTAGATTTGAAATGTTGAAACATATTATATGCAGCACAAGTGTTATAAAATATAAAAACAATTCTAGGAATCAATTGAAGTAATACTAATGGTGATTAGATTAAGCTTCGGCATTGCCCCGGCGTGCCGGGAAGCTGACGTTAGATTTACAACACTGAAACAAATAAAACACATTATACAATATAGACGTATCAAGAAAAGTAAAACACATTATACAATATAGACGTATCAAAAAAGAATAAATAACCAATCCAATTGATACTAATTGTCTGGTTATGGTGATTAGATTTTGCACCCGGCACGCCGGACGCTGACATTAGATTTGAAATGTTGAAACATATTACAACACAAATTACAAAACATTGAAGAAAACAATGCTAGAAATCAATTGAATTAATACTAACGGTGATTAGATTATGCTCCGGCACTGCCCCGGCGTGCCGGGACGCTGACATGATTGACAACGCTGAAGCAAAGTACAAAACATTACTGAACACAATGCAAAGAATCAATTAACATATACGATATTGTGGTAGAGTAATTGGGTTACGGTTATGGTTGAAACAAATTACAACACATAAGAAAAAGTTAAAGAACACAATGCAAACAATCAATTGAAATAATATGTTTGGTGATTAGATTGTGCCCCGGCGCGCCGGGATGCTGAGATTAGGTTTGCAAAGTAAAACACATCAACAGTTTAACATCAGCAGTGCAATGCAGCATATTTTGCACAAAACACATATTGCATTGGCTGTGCCCCGGCACGCAGGAATCCAAATGCAATTTAGTTCAAAGGCCGACTGCTTATCTAAGGCTGCTCCAGCTACATCACATGTGGACCCAGCTGAGTTTTCAGATCTTACTTGCGATGAGCTGAGAAACAGGATCAAGGACATGGCGATGAATGATGAGAAGAAGAACCTTCCTCGGAAGAAGGCGAATTTGTTGGCCTTGTTGTGCAAGCTCGAAAGCTCACGGCGAGGCAGCCTGTGTTCACCTCGCAAAAGTGATGGATGAGGGAGAAGTGCGGCTCATGTGAAAAATAGATTTGTTTGTGCTTGTCTAGCGTCTCCAGGACTCCAGGGTACTAAATGAACAGTGTTTCTGTTTCGGCCATTTTTGTTTCTTGGCATTAGATGACTCAAGCAGTCATTGTCTCTGTTTCCTTTCAAAGGCCCAGGGCATTAACGGTAGAAGATCCATGGATCCATCATCCCCACACACGTGTATAAGATGCTCAGTGCATGCATTTATCTTTTCACAAAAACTGTAGCCAGTTTTGATACTGGAGGGAGCACAATCCAAAAACCAGGACCAAATCCATCAGTTCTTCTATCAGGGGATCCCAAAACCCTGAAGGCTTTCCTGAAAGCCAACCACCGGCCAAGGTATGGCGCTGGGGCTGCAAACTCTAGCATCAGTTGCACCAGAAAAAGTGAGTGCGCTCACAAGTGTGCAATATCACATACTATGTTCTGCAGGCATCATTCCAGGTGTTATTTCACTGGCTTCACAAGTTAGCGTATTTTCCCGACCAACTTCCGACCAACCCGGTGGGTCCACGAAATTTACAACATCAAACAGTTGTAATTTTCTGGTGGTCATGGTTGTAGTGCTTGAAGGCAACTGTCTCATGTTTTTTCCAGAAGGAGCCACTTGTTCAGCAAACTAAGGCGCCTGGTGCAGCACTAGAGGATTCTGCTGGC